TTAAATAATAATGAACTCTATTGATGTAGCACATTTCAAAACACACAAAGCGCTTTCCCAAATATTAATTTAAGAATTGAAGGCAAACAATAGGAAACAAGTAAAAGCAGTTTGAAGATCACACAAAATTAGGGCAGTAATATAGCAACTGATAGACTATAGAAGTGATCAGAGCCTTTGCTGTGTCAATGTGTGACGGACAGGTGCAGCGTTTGGCAGACTTGTTGGAGAGATCATGGCAACCATGTTTCCTGATGGCATACATGCTGACGGCAGCGTGTATCCTATAGTTCCTGGCGGTTATGCTGTAGTTGGTGAGTTGCTTTATAACAGCTTTCTTTGCACACTGTACTTTAGTCCATTTCATGCCTAATTTACCTTCATAACTAATTTTCCCACCACTTTTCACTCTTCCTCTCTTCGGTGTGATTGATATCGCTGCAGCCATTTTTATCACTTCATACCAGCTTATAGAATGTGACTGATGAAAATTGATTCCACTTAGATTGAACATTACATTTTTGACTGAAGTAAAACAGAAAATCGTTTAGAACAAAATGCCGCAGTCGTGACTCGCTGGCTAGTGTGATAGAATGGAGTTAAATGTTATGAATGAGAACGACATCCTGCAGAAAAAAGAGACAAGATGCAAAAAATGATTTTTCTTTGATTCACTTCCCTCCTACACAGGTGCTGCAGCACTGTCTGGAGCAGTCACCCACACTGTATCCACAGCGGTCATAGTGTTTGAGCTGACCGGTCAGATCTCCCACATCCTGCCTGTGATGATCGCCGTCATTCTGGCCAACGCCGTTGCCCAGTCGCTCCAACCATCTCTGTACGACTCCATCATCCGCATCAAAAAACTTCCTTATCTGCCTGAGCTGGGCATGGGACATCACGAGTGAGTCAGCGTGTCCAGCGTGTGTCTTGTTTGAATGCTCAGGGCAGGTTTATTCTTTTCCCAGTGATTTGGTGCCCTTCTTTCTACCTGTCTGGCCTTTCATTTTCTTCCCTCTCTTGTTTCCACTTGCTCCTCCTTCTCATCGCTTGACCTCCATATCCTCCCCCTGCAACTATGTCTCAGGAAATATAATATCCGCGTGGAGGACATCATGGTCAGGGACGTGCGCTTCATCACTTTGAACTCCTGCTATCGGGACCTGCAGGAGATGCTGCTGACAGGTCAACTCAAAACACTGGCCCTGGTTGAAGGCAGAGGTAAGTGCATAAACAATATTTCAACAAGGCAAAAATAAAACCAGGTCAATAAAGAAATAGTTTTCTGAGTTTCTGAGTGTGGACGGACGTGACACTGCCCTGCACAGAATTCGATTTCATATACTCACCTCGTTTGAGTCTGGAAAACAATATGTAGACAGAAACTGTACTGGTTGGTAAAGGCATACAACTGCAGGGCAGTCATTTCAGTTGAACTTTTATCTTAACATAATTGATATCACTCTCTCCCTCTCTCTGTCTTTCTCCTTCAGACTCCATGATCCTGCTGGGCTCCATAGAGCGACTACAGCTCCAGTCTCTGCTCTCGCTTCAGCTGGGACGCCAGCGGAGGCTGGAGTACCTCCACCAGCTGGCCCAGGACAACGGCACACACGATCACCTGCCCAGCCTGACAACTGACAGCACCCCCAGCTCACCCTGCGCCCACACTCACGTCAACTCGTCAGGCAGCGCTCGCCAAGGGGTCCGCTTCCTGGTGAGCACCCAACAGGTGTGAGGCGTCCGGGGGCGCCAGGGCTGGGCTGTGGCCAAGTCTGGCTTGGGTTGGGTTGTAGTGATAGAGAAAAAGTGGATGATCAGACACAGCATGTGTGAAGCATGTAGCAGTAGGTAAAGGCACAGATGGAGTTTTTGGACAGCTGTTGTGGTAAGTGTTTATAAACTGAATAAACTTCCCTCATTTCTACTTTTACATTAACACATGTCTTCTGTGTCTCTGTCGTCTGTGCCCTTACCTGTGCTGTCCTGTTTGTTTACGTGCATGTGCTCGTATTTGTCTTTTCAATGTTATCTGTATTGTTTCTATGTGTGTGCACGCTTGTGTCTGGCTTCTTCTGTTAATATTTATTCCATGTAGATCTCCACAGAGGAGTCTTCCTCCTTCAGCCCAGTGGCTTCCAATATTCAGCTTCCTCTGAAATCTGCCTTGAAAACTGTGTCTGCCATCAGTGACACAGAGACGCCAAATAGTACGTACTTTACACACAGTAGGACGCATAGAGGAACAGACTTATTTAAGACTGATTGTTGTTTTCTCTCCAAGGTTCTCAGACGCTCTCCTGTGCGGACCAAGAAAAGGAGCTGCTGGAGGTGAGCACATGACAGGATATAAAAAATGCATGTGTGCTGTAAGAGTGTGACATGTATATTCAAGGGTGTGCGTGTGCTGTCGGGCAGGATCCACCCACAGGCGGCAGGGCTTCCCATGCTGGAGTCGTAGCTTTTCCTATAAACCTTGTATGAGTCACTGTACAATACATTCAAGAAAGAATCAATCCGTAATTTAATGGGAAAAATGTAAGAATATTTCAGAAATAAAGAAAAATGAATTTAAAACACCAAGGTGAACCTGTGCTCACCGGAGTTCCACAAAGAACACTGACACTGTTAATTAAAATAAGCCCATAAGAGACATTTAAGGGGAAACATAGGGGTTAAAACTACTTAACAACAATCCTTAAATATTTGATTCTTAAAAGCCTTTCTTCTGGCAATTTATCTATCAGCCATTGTTGCATTAACATTTTGCTATTTGTGCAGATTTCCTTTCTCGCTCTTGGCAACATTGTGCTCATGCTCTCAGACTGGGATCCAGTGTTGTGGTGGCACCAAGTTAAAGGTGTAAAACTGTCCAGTGTCACTGATGTTGTGTTAATGTGCTGTGTTGATGCCTTTTCTCCCCGACCCGAAAGAGCCCGGCTGGGCCAGCTCCCCCTGAAAAGAGGAAGCCCAAACGAGTGAGGATCTCCATGGCGGTAAGATTGTCAGCCGTTTTGTGTTTTGTGTTTTATTTTAAGCTGGTTGATTCTCAAAGTTTTTGGTGCTGTCACCAATTTCTGCTCCTTAGAAATTCTACATAAGATATAAATTAGATGTTAGATACAGTTAAATGTTTCATTAGTTTACAGTTGCGTATTCTACCTTCTGCACAAACACAAACACACAGATCATCCCACTATATAAACATGAACAACATGACAGCCATCAGTTGCTGGCTGCAGTGTAGGCCATAAATCCTGCCTCCTCCATGTTAGTGGATAGGACCTGGACTGAACCACAAAGTCAAAATCAATTAATTTCAATTCAGTATTTGATTCTATATACTGACAGACGAGATTGGCCCATGATTGGTTGACCATGCATGTATCATGAGACTTTGATACTGTGGCTACATCCCCGATCCCTGCTGCGTAGATTCTGGATATTTGGAGGCAGTGGAAACGTGTCATCCATCTTCATATACAGTCTGTAGTTGATACTGTTATTGAAAATAAAGGTATGTTCTTTTAGGACTCAACTGAAGTAGACGATTGTATGACTCAATCAGAGGTGAGACTTAACACACACACACATAATTGAGTTTTCAAAAGAACAGTTTTGAAGTTTCAGTGTCTCGTCGTCGTCTTTGTCTCAGATAGCAGAGTGGGAGGAGCAGCAGCTTGATGAACCGGTGGATTTCAAAAACTGCAAGATCGATCCTGCTCCCTTCCAGCTGGTGGAGCAAACATCTCTGCATAAGGTAACATGAAAACAAAGAGCACTGACATCACTGGGAAATTAAATCAACCTTTCAAAGATCTTTTGATATAATTTTTCTCAACATAAAAGGTCGATTTTTTTTTTTTTTAACACCAAACTCTCAGAAAAATAAAATGTCAGGAGATTATCTGGAGTTCAGTCTGAAAGCGACTTTTCTGTCCAATCAGAGCGAGCCGCTCACCAATCGCCAGTGATTGCCACGTCTCACAAGAGCAAGAATTTCAGATGCTACAATCGCCTGGTCTGACACAGTGACCATATCGAGGGGCTAGAATATTATGCTGATCCCAGCGCTACAGTTTTCATTGCACTGATCTGAAACGAAATGAAGCCCCTCTGTATTTGAGTCTGTAACCAGGTAACGACCCATCATCTCTCCTCCTCAGACTCACACCATCTTCTCTCTGCTGGGTCTGGATCACGCCTATGTGACCAGCATGGGACGTCTGGTTGGAGTGGTCTCTCTCAAAGAGGTGTGCATGTGTATTTCCTTCAGTTGTTGAGATCTTATTTTCTGTAAATGATGATTAAAGCTCACCCTCTCTCTCCCTCTTCCCTTTCTTTGCCAACACTCGTTGCGCTCCAGCTGCGTAAGGCCATCGAGGGCTCGGTGACAGTGACTGGAGTGAAAGTGCGCCCTCCGCTGGCCAGTTTCCGTGACAGCGGGAACAGCACAAACGTATCTGAAGTAACTGAACTACACAAGCTGTGCATCCGCCACAGGGGGCTCTCGTTGCCCCGGGAACCCAACCCCCCTGACGCAGAGGACCAACCAGATCTCCAGTACAAAGAGATCCCCGTCAACTTCTCAGACCAAACCAGTCTGCAGTTTGAAACCAGCCCCGGCGACGTCACAAATCAGTCGTCAGATTTGGTCCTCCAGGAGAGTCCCTCATTCACAGAGGACCAATCAGAGTTCACTTTTGACTGCAGCCCCTCCCACACTGAGGAATCAGAGCTTGCCTGTGACTATGACCCGCCCACCCACACTCCTGAGCCGGATGAAACAGAGCAACAACATGACCCGCCATCTCTGAACATGGACCAATCAGAACTTGAGGGAGAGAGTAGCCCCGCCCACACGGAGGATCAGTCAGAATGATCCGATCCGTCCTGTCGTCTCATGAATGTTGATGTTTCTTACGTTTGTAGAGGTCACACTCTCCGACAAGTCCAGCCTTGATACCCGAGTTTCTAACGTTGTGGTGTGAGTGAGTGTTGTGTTTGTGCAGACGCCTGTTTAAATGATAAATCTGGTTTTATTCTATATTTCTTTACCGTCAACAGATCCTGTGAGAAGACCAAAATCAACAATGCTTTTGTAGGCCTGCTCTGATTTTACATGACATGAGTCGGCGTTGCTTGGATCGGCAGACAACACGTTTGAAAGAGGGATCCTACCAGACCTCTGTTGCCTTTACCCTCTCAGACCAAACTGTAGACTGTAAATACAGGTGGACGAAGTGACTGCCTCCCAAAAGTGAAACCAAATTATCTTCATCGCCACTGCAGGCTGGCCATATCCTGTTCCATATTAGAATGGCCCTTAGTAGAGCGCATACTTCCACTGAGGCCCATTACATTGAGACCGTTACATTCAATCAAGCTGCATCAAATTTCACAAACTCATAGAAATTATTTCCCCCAATTTTTTTTTATTTTTTTTGAAGGATTCACAAATTTGTCTATGAGAAATAAACAAAAATGTATCCCACAATGTAAAGTGATAAAAAAGAAAATCCTGGACCTGCCCCTTTGTCTGGATGAGCACAAAACTTGAATCAGTTCTGTCTCAGCATATTTTCCATCCCTGATCAAGACACTTTGGCTTCACTTTAGAGGAGGAGCTTTCACGTCGTCCATCTTTATATCCAGTCTGTAATGATGGATCATTTCAATGCTGTAATGTTGTGTTTATGTGTTTTTAATCATCAACAACAACAAAACTCTATTGTTCT